AGTACACTGGAGGAAAGCTAGGGACGGACAAACCAAAAACACCGCACCAATTCATGAAAACATCGACGACTGGACTGAGCCATTTTGTCTTCCCCCAAATTCTGAGCTTCTGAATCCCTCATAATTTCTCTTTTCTGTAGTTATTAAACTAATTTATGTTTTCTTGAACTGTATTTTCGATACCTACTCTTCGCAGTCACCATTCACACTGTTACTACCTCTACAACTCTGAGATTTGGCCTGACAACTTCATCTCTCTGTGCCGATGGGGTATGGCAACTTGAACTGATGTACATAAGTACAAGTTTTACATTGTGACTGGCTGTCTTGCTGACGGAGTTTTATACCTGTTTGCTTAATAAGCTTGAGTTGTTGTCTAGTGTTACCTTTCGGTGCTGCCATGTCTTTCTTTTCTGTTATTGCTACCTACTTCCGCTCACGTGTAGTTTTTATCCTCCTACGTTTAAGCTGCTTCTCTCTTTGTCTGTTTCAATGCTAAACGGGTTGAGTTCTGTAGGCGAAACGAAAATTCATTAATTTTTCCCAACCTTTTCAATTAGGTTACAAGTAATATCGCTACTGTTTCTTCTGTTTGAATATCATGCCAAACTACTTCGGGTATCACTTTCATGGTTAATAACTCGTTCTATAGTTGTCCCTGTGATATATTCCTAATTTTTATTTTAAATTGTACTATAATTTGTTTTCTTGCTGTGGCTTTTCTTCATTTAGTAAGACGCAGACAAATACATGTTTGAACTAATGCGTTATGTGAGTCTAAATATGTGCTCCAGAATAAGCGTTATTCTTTAAAAGAGCTCCTCCAATGATGATTAATGGCAATGTGATCTAATTATGTCTATCAGTATTAGTGGCTTTATGTACTGATGTTACAGTTTTTTCTATTTATTTATTTGAACACATACATATTGGTACAGGAGTGCGCCACACAAAACAATGAGAATTTAAGAAGAAAAAGAAAAAGTGGGGAACGTAAAACAAAGATATAAAAAACAAAAAAAAACATTAACGAAGAGATTGGTGTAAGGTAGTGTAATAATAGTAGTAATAGTAGGGGAACGGAAGGGTACAATCAGAAGAAATCTTTCAGTTAAGGAAGATACAACCATTTTTTATGAAGAAAGTTAAAGAAGGTTCCAGCAGGATCGCCACTGACTTCTATTCTGAGCCATATCTGATAACGTCTCTAGCCACTGTGTTGCACCATCTCTAGGACCCCAGTCAGGGAGTCGTGAAGGACTAACAGTAGCCAGTCTCGTACAACTTTCTTTCATACCACGACACCATGTGATACACTGACCATCTCTCCGCTTTTTCCAACCAGTCCCAGAGTCGGCAAATAATGCACGACGTGGAATTCTCTGGGACGACATTCGTAGAACATGTCCAAGCCACCAAAGTCGGTGTTTCAAGATGGTGACACCAATCGAATTATCGTCTTTGCGCTCGAACACACGATGCCGAAGCTCTGCATTACTAACATGGTGTTGACACTGGATGTCAGCAATCCTTCGGAGACAGCGATGATCGAACACAGAGAGTCGTCTAACATCCCCAACTCGGAGAGGCCAGGTTCCACAAGCATAGAGCAAAACTGCTCCCACCGACGCGTTGTAGATCCGACCTTTTACAGCCAGACTAACATCACGAAGACGCCAAAGATGGCCCAGATTGACATAAGCCACTCTGGCTTTCACTATACGTGCATTGATCTCATCAGTCAGGCCACCACCAGCACTTATGCAGCTACCTAGATACACGAACTTCTCAACTACTTCTATCTGCTCACCATCCAGGGTGAGTACAGGATTAGAATCCTGCCAGTCTTGTAGAAGTACTTTGCAGTTCGAAGGTGCAAAGCACATACCGTACTAACGGACACTGGTTGCCAAATGACTAATTGCGGATTGCATGACTTGGGCATTATCGGACAGTAAGATAATATCATCCGTATACTCAAGGTCGAGAAGTCTTTCTACAGGCAACAGATCCACACCGCCATTACTTACATCCATCAGAGCTGCTTCCAGAATGTCATCGATGGCAAAGTTGGGGAGGAATGGTGAGATTGAGCAACCCTGTCTAACCCCACTGCTCGAATAGGACAATGGAGAGAGGTGGTTGTATGCCCTCACTCTGCCTGAGGTGTTTGTATATGGGGCCTTTAGGATGTTAACAAACTTCTCAGGCACACCCTTCTTCACTAGACGATCCCAGAGAACAGTCCTGTCCAACGAATCGAAGGCAGCCCTAATGTCAAGAAACACTACGATTGTTGGCCTTTGATAAGTATGAAGGTGTTCTAACATTTGGTGGAGGGTGAAGATGTGATTAATACATCCTCGACCGGAACGAAAACCAGCCTGCTCCTCGCGAGTCAATCTTTCTCGGGTTTTGACCAACCTACGAAGTATGAAGGAAGCCAATAGCTTGGATGCAATCGGAAGTAGACTTATCCCCCGATAGTTGTTACAGGAACGACGTGAACCCTTCCTAAAGATAGGGACAACTAACGACTCATTCCATGACGTTGGTACACTCTCTAGCTCCCAGACCTTTGTAAACAACGTCGTCAGTTCCTTAGCCAGAAAGTCACTACCATCTCTAAAAAGGGCCGGAGGTAAGTCATCTGGGCCCGGTGATTTGTAGCACTTCAAGAGTTCCTCGAAAACTTCCGCCTCATTTGGTGGATCAGTCGTCACCGGCCATGGAGGGCAGGACAGTCCGACCGATGTTGCCGGAGCAGCAGACCAGTTGAACTGCGCTTCGAAGAATTCTGCCCATCGTCCAAGACTTCGATGGACGTTAGTGATTGGCGTTCCGTAATCCTCGCAGATTGTTTCGCTCACACCAGACTCCTTGCTGCCAGTGGTTCGGATGAGTTGGAAGAGCTTCCGGTAATTACCAGATGCAGCTGCTGCTTCCAGCTCATTAGCACGCTTCGACCACCAGGCTTCTCGGTTCTTACACAAGCTTTGCCCGATTTCCTTACATAACATCCTTCGTTTGTGGTCAAACTCACGGTCACCCGGAGTGAACCGATGGGCTTCGATGAGTTATAAGAAGCCTGAAGAAACCTAGTGCTTACAAGCGTGACGTTTCGCGAAACCGCAAGGGGCTTTACTGGCCATTTTCATAGCGTCATGCAATTGCATCCAATGCTCATCTATACTTTTCGGTGGAATGGTAGCTAGCCTAGCGGCTAGCTTGGTTCGATACTTACTTGCAACAGAAGTTGCAATAGACGGTCCCCGTTATCTGTACTGCGACTAACAAGTCCCCATCGGCCACCTAAACGACTCTCTTCTGTGCCTAGACGCTCGACCTGAGCATTCAAGTCTCCGGCTAGTACTACAATATCTGTCGAACGCACTTTCTGGAGAACAGTTAACAACTGGTGGTAAAACTCATCCTTGATTGCATCCGGGCTGCAATCTGTCGGGGCATAGGCGGAGATGACGAAGAGACATCGTTTCTCACGCCGATTTCTTCTCACTTTGATGGAACTTTCTAATCTAACAGCACATAACCGACTGTTAACGAGGATCCAGTCGATTAGTGCTGCCTCAGCTCTAGCGCTCAGTGCGACACCAACGCCAGCAAAACTGGACGAAGATGCCACAGGGTCCCCGGATAAGCGCACGTAAAACAAGCTTTTTGAAGCGACATATGGAGAGCAAATTTGTAGTACTTCACCAGAGTCTTGAATAGGGGTCTCGGATAGACAACAGACGTCGATATTAAGACTTTCCAAAGACATAGCCAGCCCTATCTGTTGTCCAACCTGCATAAGTGTGCGAACGTTGAAGACAGTCAGTTTGAGTGGTGCACGTGTTTTCAGGTAAACTGCTTCAGTATTCGTATTTGGTGGTAGCATACAATTTTCAACCCGTCAGTGACTCGAGAACGTTTAGATTCAGTCGAATTTCCACCATAGACGAGCTGCTGTGTAAGTCGAAAAAATAAGTATAAACCGAGTGGGAATAAAAGAGGGTGAATAATGACGTAGTAAATAATAATAATAATAATAATAATAATAATAGCAATGATAATAATTGAATCATCTGAATGTTCGTCGAATCAAGAGGATTAGTTTCCATGATCATAGACAGTTCAGTTCATTAATTGCGTGTGGGCTGCAATACTGCCCGGGTGCCCAGACCGAAGCAGGTGGTTTTCTTATGGGGCCACACCCCGAGCCTTTAACCTGAAGGTCTAACGCACAAGGCAGTGGAGCATCGTGAGGAGATGCAGTCCCATGGTAGCCGGTGACCAACGATTGGTTGATACGCCATTTGTTCCCTCAGGATACTGGAGCCCATGTGCATCATTGGTTTGGAATCCGGTTAAAGCTCCGGACATTCGCTTTTCGTCCTCTCATTTTCGTAAACAACACCCCAGTCACGAGAAGTCAGTGAGTAGAACTTCCCTGGCGGAGGCTGTATATGCGTGGCCGTGTGAGAGGATTTCGAGAGGGAGGGCGAACCCATGCCGCTCTCAGCCATATTAGGGCATTTGGGGGCTAGTTGCCTTTAGTGTATTGCAACCTTGTCTAGGCGTCTTTGTACATAGGAACAAATAGTTGATTTTCGGAATGACAATTCAGAAAAATACGTATGATATTCTACATGATCTATTCATTATTGAAGACCCTTTCACTAAGTAGTTATTCCATCAATGTGTTTAGTACCTTTACTCATACAAATCAGAGCTATCAGTTCTTTTTATCTTATTAAACCTATCAGTTATTCTAGGTTTACTTGTCTGATACATGTAAAGTTCTAAGCATGAGTTCGTTTTTAGTTAACGCTGCTGCTATTCTGTGAATATCTTACCGTTTCAATCGTGAAAATTTTAGTCGTCGCTTAACAGATATATGAATTATTTGTTATTACATATCGTGAAGGTATTGGATTTTAATTTTTTTATTTTAAATTTCCGTCCGTAATATAATTTATGAACTGTTTACTGTCGAACAGATGTTTCGCGAAAATCAATGGTACCTATTACGTTGTATCAGTTATTTTCTCAAGTATGTTTTTGCCTATGTTGATTAATGTTCATCATACATTCCATATGTAACATTTTTTGTTATTGCTATCGAAAATACTGCAGTAAAATATCACTTTATTTATCGAACGGCATATAATTTTTATGTCCACTTCTACTGTATTTCAGTTTAATGTAATCCATAATTTCAAGTCAGCAAAGCTTTCATTGATATTTTCACTTATTTTCGTACAGAAGCGTTTGCGGCCTGTTTCAAGTTTGGTTATAGCTTTTCTATTTACGGTTATGGGATCATCGGGTAAGTAATAGTGAGGTTAGACTCAGGGTATTAGGGAATGATGGTAGATCTTCACCAACTGAGAAGGTTGGGTCACCGATAATCACGGTGCGCATTACTGACTAGTGTTGGGGATGGTTGGAAGAAAGTTAGGGGCGGCCAAACCAAAACGTGCATCAGTACTTTAAGTTACTAGCTTCTAGTCTTAGCCATACTGGTAGATGCAGACTACTTGGTTGAAGTCCGTGTGACTATCGTAACGAATGATTGGAGACTCTGGGTGACATGACTCAGAATCGATCACAATGACGTAGAAGTGTACACTCTCTGTCTTCCCTTAAACTATGAGATTACGATTGCTTTATATCTTCCTTTATGCGACCTAATTCTTTCTTCATGTATTATATCCTTATATGCAATCTTTATTTTATATATCACCACCATTGAATTAGCTGCTTATGTGAATCCGTTGTTTATGTTGTTGTGCTAATGAGGTGTGGCAACTTGAACCGATGCATATATGTGTCTGGTTCTACGTTGTAGCTGACTGACTGACTGACTTTGGTTATCACAATTGTCTGTTTTATCGACTTTAATGTGTGTGACGGGTCTAGATGCATATATATTCGTTTCTACCTCCATTGCAAATTAGCCCCTGATTAGTACTTCCTTCTCTTTTTAGACATAAGTGGCTGGGTGTATCCGGATTCAGTAAGTTACTTTTCATTCTACTTCGTTCGAATTAATATATTTTCTTTTCATAATAAATGTTTTCCGATTATTATGTTTGCTCCACCTTGCGTTATTATCTAGGTTGAGCGAATAGAAATGAAGAATTTGGTAAACACTAATCGTGTTTTCAATTAAAGAAAACTTAGAAATTATTCATATGCCTATGAGATGCAGTGGGTACTACTGACTAGTTGTTTATCTAGACAGCTCATTCTAACTTACGTTGTAGCAGGTTTAATAAACCACAACCCGTCTTAGGGTTCTTCAAGTATTAGTACGGAGAAAAATCTTTTGAATTCATGCACATTTATCACTAGTTCTTAAGTGTTATAAATAATATATCTGTGTCAGTCATTTTGGGAGTTGAATGTCAGCATCTATGACCCACGTTTTTAGAATGTGATTTAATTTTGAAAGGCCGAATTATGAATAATCGTCTGATCTCATAAAGTCGTTGCTGGAAATTCACAACACACACTAAACATTCAGGGGCCTTCTAGGTACCTCTTATAGTTTTGCATACACATCGCAGTACTGTGTTTGACAACAGGAAACACATTTGTCGTCTGCACCTCGGTTAACATGTGGTTGTAAAGTTTTTCGTTGGAACTCAAAATGACTCATATATTTCATTATGCTCATCATTTTGACATTTTAAATCAACTCATTCAACAGGTATTTGTGTGTGAGCTTCACTTGAAGTACGAGGAATAATGATACTTCCCGCCTGCCCAGACTGAAGTAGGTGGATCGGAGTTCGGACCTGGGACTTAGTGACTGTAAGTTCAGTGCCTTAATTACTAATCCACTGCTCCACCATTTCAACTCACGTATCCATCTACTTTAGTTAGACTAACGTGAAATTGAATTTTTATCGAATTTGGTGTAGTCACATGTCAAGGTGTATGGTCATTGTAACATACGATATTGATACCGATGTGAAGAATGTTAGACAGAAATACAAGTATTTAGTAATTTCGTTTTTTAGACTATAAGAGCCGATAATCATTTCTAGATGCTTCGGCTTTCTTCTGGAATTCATATTTTTGGGTAAGCACTAACCTTATGCACAATGTATGGCTCAAAAGTCACAGTCCTTAGCGCAAAATGTTTTTGTCAGCGATCTCCACCTCATTGTCTATTCCACTATAGTTAAACTGCAGCTAAGGCTTGTGAAAATATAGTTAAGACGACGGGAGGTGCTTCGTAATACAGTCTAAGTGACTTACAGTTAGTTTCCAGATTCTAATTTTACAGACGCATTTTGTGCGTAACACTTATAACAAATCTTTCACTCGCACGCAAATAAATGTAGGGTGTCACTATCTTGAAACGTGGAAGAATGACAGGTCTTACTGGATTATTATTATTGGCTTTGTTCAATATTATATTTCTGGTACAATATAGAATTCTCAGCATAAAGTATTTCAACAAGTTTTTTTCTTATTTCTTGATCGATCCTTGAGACAAATATTGAGTGGTCGCCAGTTGGGTGTTAGCAGTTCGGGAATCGACATTTGAATAATATACAATTTTTTCGATGCATATTGCCAGCAGCCACGATGTTTCTGATTGGGCTCTTATGTAACTTGTACGGTGAAATGTCGTAAACTTGTCGCAAACGCTCCTGAATCGGTTATGCGACTAATGGGCATAATGATGTGTTAAAACAAACAAGAAAACAGATAACTTGTTGAAATATACAGGTAGCCAAGATATTCAAACAGACCCCTGTTATTCAGACAGTAGTTTGAGTTTCTTGGTTAAACTAACTGATATATTAGTTGAGATATGGGACTCAAATTTATTTATTTTTATCTAGTTTTGTTAAATGATCATTTTTGTGAATGGAAGCTACAGCTGTCGTGTGATAGTTTTAAAAATTGACTTGATTTTTTTTCGAAAGCGAATCGGCTCAATAAAGTATTTTCTACTGGATTAGTTCATGTCGGCTTTTAGTTTGGGGTCTGAAAGTCAGCCAAAGTTTATGGTTTTAATCTCAGAGTGTCTATCACAGGTGATTTTTCTCGCATTTTTAAACCAAATGACTTACATATTCCGTTTTCTAAGTATTATTTCGTTATTTTTCTTTTCTAAGTAAAGTATCGTATACATTTTAAATAGAAATGAAATTTTATTACATAGTCCTTTGCATAGTTATACTTTAGATTATCAGAAGTAAATTTTGTTTAAGAAAATAAAACTGACTTAGTGATTTCAGTGTTCATATATTTTCCAGGTCTCTTATCGGTTCATGGGTGAAAAAATGTGTGGGTCAGATATGTGCATTGAGGCTGCTAATCAAGGCTACATGCTGTGTGATGCCGGGATCCATGATTGCTACGTAGTGAATAACTCTTATCGGTGTAAGAAAGGAGTTCCACTAATAGATTCCTGTGAGTATTTGGCTAAAGGTAAGTTTCGTCGCTGTTCCAGCTTTTTATCAAATATCATTTATACAAGATAAAATTTAATGGGAATATAAAACAAATATGCATCCTTCTATTTTCCGAGGCTATATACACAAAGCTATTAGTATTACATACATATTCGCTCAAATTTCATAGAAAGAAAGACTTCTCTATTTCACTGTTCTATGATACTATAATCTCAAACCATCTGGGCTAGTTTGGGACAGAAAACTTCCCGATTCTCATCCGAAAGGTATTTTCAAACAAATTTTGCTTAAATAAAACGTTCAAGGGTTGGAATTCTCGTAACATAGAAATAATATCAAACGAAGATAAACGTCATCACCATAGATAAGTCACGCGCTCATTCGTTTGATGAATTTTGAGTGTCTATCTAAATTTCTTTCATCACTCCGATCAACCTAGGCTACTTTTCATGCCGTCAGGATACCAGTCTAACTGGGAAGCTTGCAACACAGTTTCGCTTTGTCTATGAAACCTGAGTGCTCCGAAACATGTGGCTTATAGTGTTGTTAAATATGGCTCAAAGTTGAATCTAATAGTGATCAGTCTATTGCTTTTCATCACATTTTTTGTCAAAGTAAGGTGCACCTTCTAAACTAAAAAGAAATCTTTCTTGACTATATTTTTAACTCGACTTTAACTCTTGATAAGTAGTATTCTTGTCCACTTATTTATTGGTTCTACTATACTTTTCTCTTATCTCTTCACATTATTATCCCTTCATTTGTGTGGCACTATTTTTGGTGTTCATTTTACCATAATTCATGTACTATGAGTAGATAAAATGCTAAAATGTTAAAACTATACTTAGATGTTGTGAATTTTTATTTTAATCACATCTAGTTTCGAATGGTTTAACACGATCTCTTTGTAGTCTCTTCTATTTTAACTCAAGGTTAATAAGCTGAAGCTACTTGTTCATTAAAGAAATTATGTTATGAAAATTTTCAATGTAGAGAACACTAATTATTCACATATTTACTAATCTCTTACGTGACCAATCGGGCTTTCATAAAAATAAAATAAAATGAGTGCAGTATCGTTTCCACTCTTCGTTAATTTTATTCTCTGCTAGTATCAAATATCTGTACAAAACATTCGTTTTTACCGCTTCATTAGTAGCTGTTCACAATTTTTATTCTCTATTATATCTACAAAGTAACCACTAAATATTGTAGTATATTTATTTGCAGTTGAGGCTCTAGCGTTCTCATTTCCCCCCACTATTTTTCAGATTTAAATTGGTCTTGTCCACATGTCTCCAGAAATTCCCCTGAAATAGCCGTAAGTTTGTTTTCAGTATCAGCATGCTTCTTAAATAAAGAAAAATTAAATTAACAAGTGTTGGCGTTCTTTCATTTAGCATATGACTTTACTCACTTACTCCTTTATAAAAAAGACTCACTGGCTACAAATTTCTTGACGCAGACTAAGTTATCGATGTATAACAGAAAATTACAGCCAGTTTTTGACTTAAGGGTTTTTTAGCCCTAATGCCTGTGCAAATAAGCCATCGAGTCATGATTTTCTGACACTGATGTCGTATTGAGAATTACTTCATATAAAATCGACAACTCTTCCCCGATTTTTCCGTTTTCATTATCATTTAGAGGTATGATAGCCGTAATGGCATAAAAAGTTTGAATAGCTGATTGGATTGAGAACAATTGAAGCCTTCATTCTATTAAAATTTAGCCTTACAATTGGCTGTATTGTAGACTGGGTTGCAGGTTTCAACACTCGGTACACGAACACATTTGTGAAACATTCAATGACTTGTTCAAATACATCCATCTTATTTCATCTGAAATTCGTAGTCATGCTACGTTTGAAGAGATTACGATATCACCTAGGACCGGCGAATAGAACGGATGTCAGCGACACAACAACGGGAGAAAATTTCCACGAGATAATGGTTATGTCTGATGCTGTATCTATTTGCAATATAGATGAGAATGCCCAGTAATATCAAGAGTAATGAATTTCCTTTCCCCTGGGTTTGTGATAGGACGTTAATAGGCTCGACGAATCTGTACAGGATTTGGAACCAGGCTTTCTAATGCTTCTGGAAAGATGTGGTCGATCGTTTTCCTCCTTTGACAGAATCCATCTTTGTGACCAATAGATTTTCATTTCCTACAACGATGTTTTTAAACGGACAGGCTTGTACAACCTAAACAGTAACGGCGTTCTAATGTAACTAAACGTTTGCAATTGAAGACTGCGGATGAGGATGAGGGCTTTCAACTGATGTTCAGTCAACGCCTTCATCAGAAAGCGTTTGCATTTGCCCACATGATAAAAAAGGTCAGCATCTTCGTTCATAATCAACTTCAAACATCGATAACGTGTATTGGGGAGTGAGGAGTTATCTCCAAACTGTTGGCTTAATAATTGCACAGTGTCAGTAAATGAGCAGACATGTGGGTTCAGATGTAAAGTCAAATTTAAGTAGATCCTTATCAAGCCGGAACCAAATGTCAAAAGTAACATGAGCATCGCGATCGTAGTGAAATTCGGTTATACTTTTGGTGGTGCTGTTAGTTGACAATGCAATGGTGGAAATAGATGTGCTAGGTTGAGAGGTAGGCGTAATTTCCCTATCTGTCAACATCTGGATAAGTATAAGATGCTGCTCCATCAATAATTCCACTTTTGTAAGATCCATGCTTGCATCAGCCTCTTCCCCACTTTTGCGTTTTGGAGAGACCACAATATCACGTAAGACCGGCGAACGTAATGAAAGTCAGCAACATAACTTCAGGGCCAGATTAGTTATTCCACTGCTCCTCAGCCCTGCTAACGAGATGAAGAAAACCAGATCCAGCCGAGAAAAATATATATTCCACAAGCAGTCCGGAAACATAAACGTTTACCAAGTGATTTCTGGGGGTGTAGCATCACAAACAAGTTACCAATATTTTACCTGTCCAGCGAGCAGACTCAGATGAAACTCTGTCTTTAAGATTATTATGGTCAATAAAATATAAATTCATCTGTTTCGTAGAAGCTGCCTATTCGGCTTGATATAAAACATCGATTTCGTATTCTGAAATAACGTTTGTAAAAGTTTGAATTTTACTGACCGTCAATTTTGAAATCGTTATATGTTATATACTGTTGTACTGAATGGCAAATTTTTAAGATTGTATCAATTGAGTATGAGTTTTACCACCACTTCTTATCCACAGGTAGGTTATTTCCACTACTCATGTTCCTTTCCAATTCAGTTATTATTCAAATGACTCTTTTCATTTAGGATTACGGACGGACCCTACATAGTGTTTCCTACAACGCCAAAACTCTGTATCGCATAAATCCAGATTATATTTTGAATTTCACTTCTAAATTCACTGACGATGAGATCAGACAACAGCTTGCTCGCAACAGTGTGTAAGTCACACGCATATTTCAAGGTGTTTATGAACTGTGTTATTAATAAATAAATTTTAACTGTCTCACTCTTCCAAGCGACGGTAGCACGGACATAGACTAAAATAAAATTTACTCAATGTTCGCCTACAGTTGCGGGCAGCCAATGCAAAAATGCAAAGACATCGTAGATAAGTAACAGTAGTAACTGGGATCAGAAAGGGATCCCATCTGACTAATCTCGATTGCTGATCGTACCACTTTATTAGCAGAGACCAAAATTCTTTCTTGATAACCGTAGAGTAATCAGTTTGATCAATACCAGCCTGTATAACCGTGCGACGACTATCTGTCGTTTGAAAAAAACAAATCAAGGGATACCAAACTGGCATCAATGCAAAATGTTACTTCAGGGTAAGTTTGTATCAACGCCTGAACTGATGATAGTGAGTAAAGTAGTTGAGCGCGTCGATTACTTCACTTATCATGAAAGTTGAACCAAACCTGGTGGGTTGGTGTCTGAAGAAATCTCGACACATTTCAGACAGTTCGGTTAGCTTTTGCTAACTTGCATCACTTGTGACGCTAGCGAGATGTCTGTCCACCGACCTAAGGAACACTATACTCCTCAGTAGTTCGTTCTGTTCTACTTTATGTATATGAAACGTAGCCTTTGAAAATATAGAAGGAAATTCGCACGTCAATACTCATTGAACATAGATATCTTTGGAACATTGTACGCGTATGTTGGGATCATCTAGTGAGCAAAGCTGGGTTTAGACGCAGAGTACTGGATAGAGATGGCAAATTGGTTGATGCGGTTAAATATTTCACAGACTTATAGGTTTTAGGGACGTTCCAAAAATCTATTGAACTACACTGGCTTTTGAGGTTCAAGAAAACCTAGTCTTACAAAAATATAATACGGGGTGATTTCACTGTAAGAAGATAGTAGGCAGGAGGAAGCTATGTTCGTTGTGAGAAGTTACAAAGTGATATGGAAACCCAGTTAGAAGTACCATTGTGAAAAGGTCAATCGATGGCAATCAGAAGTGACTTAATTATATTGTCCATTTGCATCTTTTGGTGCGTTCACTCAGTGTATTTGTATCAGATTGCAAAGTTTGCTAATAAGATTTCCTGAGTCTAAACGTAGATCATTTTTACTCCTAAATTCTTTAAATTTATTTCAGTTCTGAACGTCGTTTAATTGCCAGTCAGTTACTTGACAGCATGAGGTTTGCATTAGATACGTCTCCAACCATTGTTGCATCCGGCTATAATTGGTCTACAAACTCTACTGCGAATTCAGAATTTCTGTCGACTTCAGCTTCCAAAAAACTGCAAACAGTCTCCGTATTTCTCCATTTAGTCGCGGAGATCGCCCGCCAAACCCCTTCTGTTATCGATTTATTAAGATCCGGCAAAGAAACTGAAAAGAGTTTACGGTTTTGGGTAAGTGTTTCCGGTCTGGTTGGCCGTCTTATCATTTGATAGTGGGAATTTGTAAAAAAAATACTGTACAGTTTTATGAATGATCAGTTTGGCCATTCGCCTACATTGACTTAACATTTACGATTCTCATCGTTGTAGTGTTTACTCGTACATTGGGAATCATACAGTTAAGAAACGTTCATGATGAAAACCCTAAACTGATTTCTTTTTCATGGACACTTTTACTATTTACGGTATAAGTGTGTCAGTAGAGGTTTTTGTGACACTATTTGTTTATATAATCATATTTCAAGTTAAAGTTATCTACTAGTTTGGCTCATCTTAAGCCGAGTGTTACGGTTCATTTTTACTAACATATCATGAAACCATGTCTGCAGTTGTCAGTGATAGTGTAAAATTAACTTGTATAAACAGGCTTGCATATCCCAATGGGTTAAAATAGATTTATAGACAGCGAGTCTTGTTCCTTCAGGTGGAAAGCATCAAATGATATTCAGCTAAATGTGCTGTATCTTAGATCAAGTTTCAATTAATTTGTAAGAGAATACACGCTTTAGTCGCCACTGAATACAAAATTTGAAGGGAAACTGTTGTGTGACAGTCCGAAATCTATACTTTTGAGCACTTTTGATCGAACAAGCTAGGCGTCAAACTTTGAATACGCTTTTGACCTTAACGAACGTAAATAAAATCTTCATTAAAAATTGAGTAGAATATCTTCAATACATACTTTAATTCTTGATTAATCAATTTTTGCAATTAATATTCATCTCAAGCTAAAACTGACCAAAGAACCAATATAAATCAGACAGTCCTGGTTAGCTGTCCAGTCGTTATATGCGACTCCTCATCATAACCTAAACAGAACCTCGTCAGAGATCAAGTGTAGAAATTTCAAATCGTGTAGCGGGAGCGATACCCCAGGCGATATTATGCATTTGATCGTGACTCACTTTTTTCTTTGTCTCGTACTTGCGGTGAAATGCAAGAGTCATGTATTAGATCCACGCTAGTGTTCTAATTGGGTTTCACTGAAAAGTGTCATGGTAGAACGAAACGAATGTTCAATTATCATCACTTCTGATGTTACGGTGTATTAAAAACTGTTTAAATTAAATAATCTTCACAAGCTTGTTGATAAAGTTTTGTCTTGCTGCAAAATTTAGCTTTATTATGTACCTTAGGTTGATCTGCAGTTGTAAAACATTTCTGACTGCCAGTCGATTAGTTAGCATTAAGTTGAACTAATTTCAGTTTGCTGAAGTTACAGTTTGATGTTATTAGTAATCTTATACATTTACAAGGAATAAAGCAATTTTAGATAATCGATTTTCCTATTTTCCCTGAAACTTTGCTTTCATCTGATTTTAGTCCAATTTTATTCATAGATTTAAGTCACTGCATAATTCTGTTAGGTGAGTGAAGTATTTCTTTTATTTATAAAATCTACCTACGTGTCTCGTCAGTTGGGATCACTTGTTATTTGTTTATATGTTGTTTATTTTTCGTTGATACGCATTCAACTTTACAGTATATTACTAAGGCTGTGTTAGAACTTACGATCATTTTATTTACACTTGAATCAGTATTTCTGTTTTGATGGTGTGAATGTTGGATTTCGCGCTTTTTTATCCTGAGATTTCGCAGTCTTAATTTATGTTATTTGTGTATTATTTTTTAAGCATTTGTCTTCAGATACAGGCAATATAACAATGAATAGTTCGCAAGGGAAGGTGATCAAGTTTTCCATTAAACCAAAGCAATCAGGTTAGATCATAGATCATAGAAATCACTTTAACCATTCTAACTTTTTGTGACTATATTTACGAATTAAGAATAACTTACTTTCATGCCGTTTTTTCTACGTAACAGTTGAATCTTGTTGTTCTTTAAGATCATAACCTTCAACCACTTAGCGTACGGTCTATATTTTTCTGTTTTATAAACCAGAAATTCTTGCTTGCTACAAAATTTAATGCATTGCATGTACCTTGATATATTCTACTAATAAAATTAAAACTTTTTATTCCAATGGACTAATATAGTACTTATTATAAGTACTCAGGATTTATAAGTTACTAATTGAAACTGTTTAGATTATTGTTGATGTTCACGACTATTCATTGACATATTTATGCCTTGAGGATTCCGCCCGTAAAGCCATTTGTCACAATTTTTATAGAATAAATAGATTGTGGGTAGTAGTAAAATACAGCACCCCCGTTTCTTTCCCGCGTGAAACTTACCATCTGGAGGTACCTGAATCTCCGTCTCGATGTTCACATTGAGACTCAAATTCGGTACCTGTTGCTTTAAACGTGAATGCGTTATCCACCGAGATGCCCAGTCCAGCCAATATTTATTTTTTTCGGGTAGTTTCAAGTTAATATAAGGTTTTATGTCGACATTTTAAGTCGGTCAACGAGTGATTTGCCCTCACGAGTCTAATCTACTGATCTAAAAAGTTTTCACTATTTTTTCTGAATCAATATTTCCCAATATGGTCATTTATTTCATTGTTTTGCCTGAAAATTAGGGCCAAGAGTGTGGAAGTTTTACTGGATATGTAGAGTACTTTTTCCCATGTTTTTTAATCATTCATGATATACATGATACATAATCAGTCGTTATTGGTCAATCTTCTATATAATAGTGACATTCCATCTAAAGCATTCAACATTCCATCTCTTTCATTAACATGGAATTCCAAACACTGCCCACTTATCATTGTTTTTCTGGTGGTGTTTAATTTACAGAAATGCATGATACATTCATCGCCGTAATCCCAGCTGCCAACTTTCCAGGAGTTCTTCTGACACAACTAGACAATATCAAAAAAGTGACAACACCTTCCTTAGACTCAGATGTTGTATTGGTCGACACCAACAACGGCCTATCATTCACTCTATCTGTGGATTTATCTCAGGTGATAATGTATAATCGTCCTAGCATTTATTATCTATTTTTTTAATCCAATTTTATATTTATTATTTATTGGCTTTTGTAGATTATAGATTGCTTACGCTTAGCTGAATAGTAGCCTGCGTTTAAAGTTTTAATTGGTACTAGGACTTTAATATTTTTCTTGAGAGATAGCATTTTCAAAACTAGTTTTTTGTCCAATATTTGTGATTGATTCTAAAAAGGGTTGTCGTTTAACTTAGCGGTTTAATAGTGTCGTTGTCTACTGCATAATGATAAGAAATTTGTAGTTTATGCAACTCATTGAGTAACCTACAAAATAGGTTCTTTCGAATTTCATTTTTCAAAACTCACAATTTCTTTTCATGCAGAAAATATTAGCATTGCATCATAAGATGACTGCTTTCATTACTCGTAACATTATCAACATTTCTTTGTGGTCATTAAATAGACTCATTTTCTATGGATTAGGATAGTTATTCTGTTTGACTGTGTTGAATCACATATGAGTTTGTCGGTTTTGTAATGAGTGCTCTTTAGGATGAAAAGGAATTCTGAATTTGAATTTTACAACTATCATGGCGTGTCTATATAATTTCTTCTGTCAGATATAAACGTGATATGCGCCACAAATTAACAAAGAGGTCAGTAGAAGTTATCATTCGTTTGTGCGAGGGCTGTGATACTACACAGGTGCCCAAACCGAAGCAGGTGATTTCCTTAGGGTAATACCCCCTAAACCTTTCACTTGATGGTCTAGTCCACATTGCAATGAAGCAACGTCAGGAGATGCAGTTCCATGGTAGCCGGTGACCAACGATAGGATCATACGCCATTTATTCCCTCAGGATTTTGGAGCCCATGTGCGCCATGGGTTTGGAATCAGGGTTTTCCAACTCACCTAGGTAGACCCTCCGTTTCTACCAGCCCAGTTAAAGCACCGGACATTCGCTTTTCACCCTCTCAATTTCGTAAACTGTTGGGGATGTTAGATCCCTAGAACTCACTTAGTAAATGCTTTAATTTTGTAATTTTTTTAAAATTTAAATTTCCTTGTTTTCGCGCCAAAAGAGCTCTTTTCATTTTTATGTCGTATTTCCTACTTGAGAGAATCTTTAACGCTTATTGGTCCGTCGTGTATTTTAAAATGCTATTTTGTAACGTTTCCCAAGGACAGTTTTATGCTGTGTATTTATGTTTGATTTGAGTCTGTTGTTATCGCTCGTGCTTCTGGCTTTTTGCGGAATATAGTTCCGCGTTCGGACTTCGACTTTTCTCTCTAGTTAGCGGGGCTGGGACGCAGCAGAATAGCGAGTTTATTGGTTTTTGGTCACACTTCTTTGTTCCATTGGCAGACTAAGTGAACTCGAAATCACTTCAAACCTAGCATAAACAACACCCCTGTCGTGAGAAGGCGATGAGTAGGTCTTCATTGTCAGTTTCTGTATACGCTTGGTCATATGGCAACATTTCGAGAGTGAGAGCTGACGCTCCCCACCGTCGACCATACCTGGGCATTTGGGGGCGCTTATCTGTCAAACTCTGATTTTGTTTAATCATCATGGCAATATAATTCTTCGGTACTTACAATTTACAGTAGATGAATTCAGTGTTTAACGATTTCTTGCACCATTTTGGATTCCTTCAAGCACTTTATTTTACAGTTTTCACCTCTATTGATTAGAATCCTTATTAATTTCTCTTTTAGAAACCGAATATCACTGTATCATGTGAACAACTAAAACAGAATCCGTAAGTCTAGTCTTGCTACTGATTATATCATGTTTTGTTGTTTTGTAGTGTTTCATTTATTCTAGGTTCTTCAACCCCTAATCGTTTCAGTTTATTTTTATCGCTACACCAATGATTCATTAAAATGATTTAGAAAAGTTACACTTTTTTATTTTTGTGTTCTTTATTTTAACTACAACCATAATCCACTTATTCCATACTTTTGATTTATTTGTCTATCCATTTCCGTCCTGAGTAATTATCTTTTTTAAATAATCTCTGCTTTTTGTTTGACTTAAAAACTACTACTACTACTACTCATAAAAACGTCGTGTGTGACCGACCTCAAGCAGCTGTCCCTTGGGTAGGTTCCAAGAACAACTAAGTTCACACTTAGGTAGTTCTGAAAACGAGGCTAACCCAGATGTTGCTTGGAAAGATATACAAACAGCTGTGGAAACAGCAATGAAATCGATTAGTGATATAAACCAGAGGGTCACGAAGAGCCAATGGATTTCTTCAAGGTCTATTACACTGATGGATTCTCGTGAACCCATCACATCAGGCTCTGAACACGATGAAGATCGAAAACAAATCAGATCTAGGTTAACCAAAAGTCTGAGGAACGACCGTGAGCAGTGGTGGGCAACGAAAGCAAAAGAGATGGAAAAGGCGGCGTCTATAGGGAACACAAGACAGCTCTACAGACTAATAAAAGAAACTGGAACTAATAAGTCAAGTGTAAGAGAGAATATCTCGGAAAAAGACAACACTCTCATCTGCTCCCAGTCTAGACGTTTAAAACGGTGGACAGAACATTTCAGAGAACAGTTCAGCTGGCCTTCAGCGACTCTACAACTACCCTCCATTCCCAGACAGTGTGAATGGAACATTGAAGTAGGTCCCCCAACTCTAGCTGAATTTAAGAAAGCTATAGCTAACTTGAAACAAGGAACAGCAGCTGGTCCAGATGGATTGGCTCCAGAAGTCTTTAAGGATGGTAGTCCGATTTTAGCGATTAATTTGACTAATATTTTAGCTAAAATCTGGGAGTTAGACGTTATCCCATCTGACTAGTCACAATCACTTATCGTCCCAATATATAAGAAAGGGTCAAAATCATCTTGTGATAACAATAGAGGGATTGGTTTAACTAATATAACATCTCAAATACTAGCCTCAATAATTATCGGACGCCTAACTAAGACTCGTGAACTGCAAACACGAGAGAATCAGGCTGACTTCAGACCTGGTCGTGGCTGTATCGACTACAGATTCACCATTCGTCAGGTTCTAGAACACAGACATGCTTATCGGCGTCCGACAGTGGCGGTCTTTCTTGACCTAAAAACATCATTTGACTCCGTAGACCGCGAGATCCTGTGGTAGTGTCTGTCATTGAAAGGCACACCTCAGAAGTACATAAATCTTGTGAAGGCTCTTTACTCGAACACTACTAATCGAGTGAGAGCTTATGGCGAACTATCATCTGCTTTTGTAACCTCAAGTGGTGTCCTTCAAGGCTGTCCACTATTTCCATTTTCGTTCAACTTCATCATAGACATACTGATGGAAATAACATTCTCGTCGACTGGATTTTCGGGCACCGATCTCCTACCAGGAGGTCCACTTATCGACTTAGAATACGCAGATGATATAGTTCTGTTTGGTGAAGGTGGTGATAAAATGCAGAGTCTTTTGGTGGCACTGAGCAACAATGCCAGAATGTTTGGGTTGCGTTCATGTATGTAGTTTGGCGAAGGTGAGATATCCGTCTATCAATTAGGGGACGAGTATACTTTGCGTCAGTTCGTTCTGTTCTATTTTACGGCTGCGAAACGTGGCCATTAAGAGTAGAAGATACTCGTAAGCTACTAGTATTTTACCACAGATGCCTTATAAATATTTCTCACATCTTCTGGGATCATCGGGTAAGTAATAGTGAGGTTAGACTCAGGGTATTAGGGAATGATGGTAGATCTTCACCAACTGAGAAGGTTGGGTCACCGATAATCACGGTGCGCATTACTGACTAGTGTTGGGGATGGTTGGAAGAAAGTTAGGGGCGGCCAAACCAAAACGTGCCATCAGTACTTTAAGTTACTAGCTTCTAGTCTTAGCCATACTGGTAGATGCAGACTACTTGGTTGAAGTCCGTGTGACTATCGTAACGAATGATTGGAGACTCTGGGTGACATGACTCAGAATCGATCACAATGACGTAGAAGTGTACACTCTCTGTCTTCCCTTAAACTATGAGATTACGATTGCTTTATATCTTCCTTTATGCGACCTAATTCTTTCTTCATGTATTATATCCTTATATGCAATCTTTATTTTATATATCACCACCATTGAATTAGCTGCTTATGTGAATCCGTTGTTTATGTTGTTGTGCTAATGAGGTGTGGCAACTTGAACCGATGCATATGTGTGTCTGGTTCTACGTTGTGGCTGACTGACTTTGTTTGACTTCTGCCAATCAAACCGTTGTTTAAAACCGTTAAGGATGTCCTTTTTTTCATTATTACTTCAATCTGATGACTTAAAATTTTAATAATTTGCCGTATGCTATTAATGTTAATTTCAAATACAGAAAATTATGCCACTCCATTATTTGAACCATTTTATGTAGTAATATGTTATAATTTATGAGGAAATGTATAAGCATACACCACCCAAAATCCGTGTAACTATTGTCTTTTTGGAATAGTAGTATTCGTTATTCTTATTTTCCAACTGATTACTTTGTTTAAATCATATGGTCATGCATTTATTTAGTATATTTTTGCTAGACTGCCTACCGTTATCTTTCATTTTTGCCAATAAACTACAAGCTTATTGCAGTTTCATGTCCTGCTTTTGTGGCCTCATACACTTATTTTTGATGTTTGTGGTTTTTTTCTGTTCATCGTTGTGACGTCATCGTAACGGATCTAGTATGTGAGTCAGTTCTATTAATTATACTACAGGTTAATGAATAATAGTAATTGTTTTAAATCTCACACCTAGTTATTACTCTACTCTTCTTTCAACTAGCGAGTTTAAAGAACTGTGGAATGATGGAAATTGCAAAACAATTATTGTCGGTTCTGATTTTGAATGCCAATGTCTTCCAGCTCAGGGTGGAACATTCGCGATCGCTTTGGTTTACTGGTTAGGATCGTCACATGTAAGTTATGTGTATACAATGAATTAACAGTTTCAGATGATTACTGGGGATTAGTTTTTGGTTTTCAGTAGCTTGATTCATAATTATCCGTTTAAATTTCTAACTGGTTAGGAAAAGTGCGCAATATCGCTGTAATTTTTAATTTAGGGGAAACCGTTTAACTCCACTTCAGGTTTTCTATTATCAAACTAAATGTCTTTTAATATCTTGAAATATTTTTATTTTGAATAATCGCTCCAATTAATACTTTTTTGTATTTTTCAGATTCCATTGACACATGTGTACTCCATAAGTATTGTTAATTATATTTTTACTTTCGTAACTATTGTCGCTTTATTCCTGTTTTTAATATTCACCCGTTTCATGTAAGTTAGTATTCTGTTGCGCATGCGATTTTTCTCAGTATTTTTTGTTTACGTTTCAAAAATAGTCTGAATATTTTTGGTGACTACAGTGCCTCGGTAAAAAATTAATATTATTTTAACGAGTTTCATCGTAACCACGATAGCCAAAAAGTACCAAGAACTTTGTTCACACTTTAATTCAATCAAATGATATGACATCTCAAATAATCTTACTCATAATTTATTACAAGATGATATTTGACGTATTGAAAAGTTTGCTAAGGTAAACGATTACTGGATAGCACTATAGTGATAGTGTAGTGGACGTTACTCACAAAAGCGTTTATAAGTAGTATATAGCGATATATGGCATCAAATATGTCTAATGAAATGAAGAATTCCAGAACATCGAAGGCGCAGCGTTAACAGAACACTTGAAGAGCAGATGAAAGGCAGTTCGAATGAAAGAACGCACCAAAAGATGCAAATGGACAATATAATTAAGTCACTTCTGATTGCCATCGATTGACCTTTTCACAATGGTACTTCTAACTGGGTTTCCATATCACTTTGTAACTTCTCACAACGAACATAGCTTCCTCCTGCCTACTATCTTCTTACAGTGAAATCACCCCGTATTATATTTTTGTAAGACTAGGTTTTCTTGAACCTCAAAAGCCAGTGTAGTTCAATAGATTTTTGGAACGTCCCTAAAACCTATAAGTCTGTGAAATATTTAACCGCATCAACCAATTTGCCATCTCTATCCAGTACTCTGCGTCTAAACCCAGCTTTGCTCACTAGATGATCCCAACATACGCGTACAATGTTCCAAAGATATCTATGTTCAATGAGTATTGACGTGCGAATTTCCTTCTATATTTTCAAAGGCTACGTTTCATATACATAAAGTAGAACAGAACGAACTACTGAGGAGTATAGTGTTCCTTAGGTCGGTGGACAGACATCTCGCTAGCGTCACAAGTGATGCAAGTTAGCAAAAGCTAACCGAACTGTCTGAAATGTGTCGAGATTTCTTCAGACACCAACCCACCAGGTTTGGTTCAACTTTCATGATAAGTGAAGTAATCGACGCGCTCAACTACTTTACTCACTATCATCAGTTCAGGCGTTGATACAAACTTACCCTGAAGTAACATTTTGCATTGATGCCAGTTTGGTATCCCTTGATTTGTTTTTTTCAAACGACAGATAGTCGTCGCACGGTTATACAGGCTGGTATTGATCAAACTGATTACTCTACGGTTATCAAGAAAGAATTTTGGTCTCTGCTAATAAAGTGGTACGATCAGCAATCGAGATTAGTCAGATGGGATCCCTTTCTGATCCCAGTTACTACTGTTACTTATCTACGATGTCTTTGCATTTTTGCATTGGCTGCCCGCAACTGTAGGCGAACATTGAGTAAATTTTATTTTAGTCTATGTCCGTGCTACCGTCGCTTGGAAGAGTGAGACAGTTAAAATTTACTTCTTTTCAGTGGAGTTTTTAGGTTGGATCAATTCAACATAGCGTTTTGCTTAATGGTGAGCGCAATTGTCTCTTTGGCGATTCCACATACAACTGACAGACAACCAATTTTGTGCACTATCATCGCTGTTGCTGTTTGCTATTTTCCGTTGGCTGCTTTTTCATGGAAATTTATATTTGGGTTGAATACATTAATATTAATGTAGGTTACATTTATCTCCATTCTTATACAACATTTCCATGTATGTTAAATCTCTCATTTTATACATGATAAATATCAAAATGCACTTTTTGTGGTTTCATAATAACGGATAAAGATAATAAAGGGTTAAAAATGCCTTTGTTTTTAACACACTATCATATGTATAAAGGTGTCTGCAATATTTACGTAGTATAATACGATCGGGAGTTTTTTAATTCTATCTTCTTTTTCTAATGACTAATTTGTTTTAAATACATTAAACTTCTGAATTTTGATATGTATAAGTAGTAGAATGAATTGATTTGATTTCTTCAGCCGTCTCTTCGTCGTGGAATCGTAATTGTGGTACATATCATATTATCTAGTTGGACATCCAACAGTAGTCTTAAGGCGGTATTCGACTCAGTTGATCGTGAGATTCTCTGGCACGGTCTGTCAATAAAAGGTGTACCAGATAAGGACATTAATCTTGTACGTGCTCTCTACTAGAACAATATTGGTGGAGTCAGAGCTTATGACAAACCGTCATCGCCATCGGTTACTTCAAGTGACTCTTGTCAGGGTTGTTCTGTTTCTCCATTTTTATTTAACTTTGTCATATACATGATTTTAGAGATAACACTTCCAATGTCTGACTTTTCAATTGATCTTCTACCAGGAGATTCACTTGTTGACTAAAGTTACGCAGGTGATATAGTTATGTTTGGTGAAGACTCTGACAAAACAGTCTTCTGGCCACCTTCAGCAACAATGCAAGCATGTTTAGGATGGGGTCCTCAACCTCTGTTGGGATATTCAGGAAAATATCCCAAACATTATCCTGTTAAGGCTAATGCTATCCTTGAACATGAAATGGTATCATCTTATTGGTCAATATTTATTTAACGTGTCATTTTCCTGTTGGCCATTATTGTACAATGTTATTTTCTATTTTGTGGTACGTTGTGGTCTGCTTGACTGGTATATAAACAAAGTATGTTTGAAATATAATGATTCATAACCCAGAGGCTGTGACTTGTGTTCTGGACTCAACTGGCTGGGTTAGATAGGGGAGCGAGACCAATCAGAACCCTAGGCTGTTCTACGTTTTTGTGCGTCTTTGGTCCGATCAATAATTCGCTGCCCTTAATCAGCAGCATCATTTTCACGTTATAACAACCTCCAAATGTAAAACGTTACTTTAGGACTGATTTATCTCATCGCCTGAATTGATGATAATTAGTAGTAAAACCTGGTCGAAGTTCAATGATACAGAACTGTCAATTTGAACAGAAGTACAATTAAAGAAAATGAAACTGAATGTATAACCAGTTACGATTATGGTCATCAGAATGGAAAGGAAACTTCGCTACTAAAAATCTAGCTGAGATTAGTCAACCCCGACAAGAACCCATATTATCACTCATTCTTCATAATTAGGTATATTTAAACCCAAATGCTACTCTCCGCTCTGCTTGTCATCTGTTCAGTTCTCATATGGCGCAATGCTTTACGATACTGAACGTTGGAGAAAATAGTGGGTAGTTGGTCGGTATATAATATCATCATAAAATAGGAGATATTGTCCTTTACTGTTGTTGAACTATCATGATCTAATATGCGATCATGCATGTAAATCTTTAATTATCAGTTTCTCAATAAGTCTGTCATATGTAATACAATTTATCACTAAGAATCCTTCAGATCAAAATTTGCCCTGGAAACTGCAGGGATCTACTCCGTTAACCGCATTTGCTACATTTTCATCAATCTTATTCATGTTGTACAACTCTCTATTTTATAATAATAGTTAGATTATTCGTACATTGCTGCTGTAGTCATAAAAGTCTTTCTTGCCTTTTTTAAATTGCTCTAGCATTGCACCACATTCTCGATACCATGACCTTGTTTCTAAACCGAAAAATTGTTTGCCATTAGTTTGGATAGGTTATTTGAGTCCTGCAATTATTATTGGTACATGGTTTGGCTACACAGGAGAAGTTAGTAACAGTGGTCTGTAAGTTAACATCTTTGTATCCTCGGTTGTGGATATTCCTATAGTTTTATTGCTCTCATATCTTTTAGGTTTTCTACGATAAACCTTTTACGTGAGTCTAGATAATTATCAGTGCACGTTCATCAAATAAAGTCTTTGTTTAAATCTTACTGCTGGTCTAGTTAAATTTTACCATGCCTAATTGTAAAATCCAACATTATTAAAACCCGCCTAGTTGTACATGCCCACCAGTTTCGTGTTCCCAACAAGACTCGGACGCATCTGCCATCGCTCAAACAACACAGACTTATTTCTTTTTGTTTGACTTTTTGGAGACTAGCAGTTGCTGTTATCATTTATCTCGTATTTTGCGAACATAGATTAGACTGCCCTTTATCTGACCCATGTATTCTAGTGTTACAAACATTGCTTTTTGTTAATACAATTTTTTGTTTACTTTTATCCTTTTAGCTGCATTGGTCCCAAAACTCTCCGTTGGTCTTTTGTTGGTCCAATAACAACAGTTGTTACTTTTAACTTCGTTATATTGTTTGTAGTTGGTCTCGTTCTTCTCAGAAATTATCTTGTTACTCGCAAAAGTAAACTAAATAAAACAACGTACGTATGCTTTATGCATCTACTTTCGATTCCAGTTTCTAAACTAAAGCAACTTACTACTCATGAAAGATTGTATACGCTTTTTAGTATTTACGCAAAACCTTTCATCTGAAAAGTCAACATCAATAAAGAGGAAAATGTAGTATGAATTGTCTTCCATGAAACTGCTTAATCAGTTTTATCAGTGATTGGTTTCAAGAATTACCAAACTATTTGATTTTTCTATCGTTACCAAGGTTTGACTTGATAATTTTTAATTGAGTATTTAGTAAATTGGCAATGATAAAAATGATGATATATTTGTAATTATCATATTAAGTAGAAAATTGACGCTTAGTGTAAGTCCCTTTTTCAGAGGATAAACAACCGAATTGTCATTTTAGATTTACTGATTAGAAAACAAACCAAGATATTTCTTTGTAGGTTATTCTGCTCTGTGAATTAATGGTAGTTTTAACTGGTTTGAAATTGCGTTAGCGATTAGTCTAGGTTTAAATCAAGGTAGTTCATTTACACTTGAGATTATTCAGAAGGCAACGCTTTTGGTTTAATTACGAAATGTAATCATGGTTCCCATTTCGTAATTCTACACTACAGTTCTGTTATTTCATTTGCAATATCACTGAGTTACAAACGTATGTGCAGCATCTCACGTTATTTTTGTCTATGACAACGATATCAAAGTTCTTAATACCTTGATTCTTTCTATCTATAATTGCAGACACTTTTTAGTGCTGACGCAGTTGATGCTAACGTTAGGAATTCCATACATTGCAATTTACATTCAGCTATTGGACGCTTTCACTATGCTAATTGTTGTACCAGTTGCAATGGCTCTAACAGCTGTACTTATGTTTCTTCTAGTCGCCGTTTTTGATGAGGTAACACCATTTTCGTTAATTTAATTTTCACAGCATAAACATACCCGAATATCTGATTGGGAAATTTATTTATTGCTAACTGTAACGTACTCTACATGAAATTCACTTACGTTTTAAGTTATCAAAACTCGACATCTGTAACGATCGAAATAGTTTTTACATTTTTCACAGATGGTTAAGTACAACTTAACTAACATGTCTTTGTTCACATACTCAAGTTGTATTCTGATATCGAAATGTTTTTTCATATAGAAGATAGTTTCACTGCTATTCCCTTCATTATAAAGCTGTCTCCAAAATATTGCTAATTAAAAGATTAACAAGATATGTTAGGGTAGACTGACCTCCAAAATAACTGCAAGTTTAGATTGCAGATGAAAAAAATGCTTCATAGATCATTAGTTACTCGAGGTGTCGTTTAAGATCTATCCAATTACCGATATGAATCGTTTAGATAAACGAATTTGCTGTGATTCCTAAACTTATTATTACCATTAGTAAATAGTATGTCTGGAGATGCTAGTCATCACCAACAACACTTCTATTGTTGAAATCGACATATCGAATGTCTCCACTTATCACATATGAAGTGATATCTGACTCTCTTACATTTAAAAGGAATTAAATCTCATTATTAGTGTTTGAAACAGTTGGATGAACATCAATTTTTATTCACATTATGATATGAATTAATTATCATGATAATTACTTTATACACGTTCCTCGTTTCTCGATAATAATGGGTTTCGCTGACAATCATCCTTTTTTCTAATATTCATTCACGTTTAACCATCTGGACCAAAGAACTATGTGTGTCAACAAGTTATCACTTTTCATCAACATAGTTCGATTCTTCATCTTTAAGCGTTTTTACTGTTGGAACCTTACGCATCCGCTGTCGTTACTATCATCTCTGTGTTGCTCTAGAAATATTTTCCTAGACTATAGGGTCCCCATAAAATAACAAAACTCACTAGTTTTCTGGTTTTCACTGAATGTCTGCCATATGTAAATTCGTGATGCAAACTACAAAGTGGAAAACCTTCTCTGTGAGGGAAGGAAAGGTTGATTGATCGCAGCATCCCATCTATATTTTTAGTTTGTTGAAGTCGGTCGATTAACATTCAGATTTTGATCTTATGAGCGTAATGTTGTACAATACAAATGTCTTGATTTGTGGTCTTATCACTTTTGCGAATACTCCTGATATGAAACCAACTGTAACATACTGCAGTACTATTAATTCAAATACAAAATTACATAGTAATTTTAATACTTGGCTTGTGGTTCTTTATTGTTTCTGAAATGTAACGTCGTTCTTAATTACTTTTTCTAAATACAGTATATTATTTAGTACTTAGTCTAAAAGAATCGTTTTGTTTGGATCAATACTTTTAGGAAAATCGTCATTTACTACGATCCTTTATTTACAAACACATCGCACGTTCAAGTGAGCACAGCTCTGGGACGATGACATTGAGAAATCTATGCAGGGGAGAATTAGAGTCAAAGTCTAAAAAATCTCCTCTCCATCATATGGAGCGGGATCACTTTTCGTCAAATTACTTAAGCACACACGCTTTACGCAACCCAGATAACGGGAAAAGTGCCTATCAACATGATAACACAATTAGAAGGAAAACACAAGAATATAGTTCAAGTATTGGTGAGTAGCAATATCTTCCACTAATTTCGTTAGTTCATACATTTGCATTGTCTGCACCACAATTTTGTTGAGGGAAAATAGTCATACTTTCCTCGATACGTTATTTGTAGTACAATGTTTACTACGTCTATATTCTCCTCCCGATGTGTATCATAGTGACTCACGGTAAACTGTTGATCAACTTTTTGTACCGTGTGCTTATTTCATCCTTTGAAAATTGTAATTTTTGTTTTAAATTTGAACAGTAAATAAAAACTAAACAATTATTCTTCAATTAGAAGAGTCCCTTCTAATTATGTGTCGTTCGTATGCCCATACAATTATGTCGATACTTTAAAGTGATTTCTGATGGATCATCTGGTCGTGTTAATATTTTGTACACAAAAATCTCAGAAGGCTATAAACTTCGACTGTTAAACCCAAGTAGCAATTATGTTTGTTTTATCAAAAATAGTCAATAAACTTACAACTATATGTTAGTTTTGTTTGATTGTGGTTTACTGTAAAAACGCGCTTTGCTTTTCGTTTGGATGCATTTAGATATTCTGTACTGAACCTGTCATTCAAAGTAACAGATCATTATCCTTTGAAAATACTGAATTGAGATGGCAGATGTAAAACCTTCGTAGGACAACACTGTTTTTTTTCTGAATAAGTTCATTGTCCAGCTATTAATCCATGGTTATCACCGGTAGCACTCCTCATTTACGAATTACACACGTTCAAGTCTCGCTTCTGCTACTTCATTAGCCGCCTAATGTTATATATATATATATATATATATATATATATATATATATATATATATATATATATATATTGTCACGTTGAAGTGTCTTACACTTTTATATACTGTTTTACTTTTTCTAATCTTTATACAAGCCTCACCTGAAACTGGTAATTCAGTTGTACTTTGCGATTCGAGACAACTAAATGGGGAGTTGTTTAATGACATTTCGTCCACTGAAGAAGATCACACAGTCGAAAATATAAAGAATGAAGGTGATGTCAATCTTGGTTTTCCAAATAATCGTACACATTTTTTACCTTCTTTCAACAGTCTAGTCACTCGGATGTAAGTATTCACAATATGTACGTGAAAAATCGGTTGTCCATTTTAACAACCATCAAATTGTTTCTATTCAAAACAGATTTATTCGTGAAAGCGAAGATCACCGGTTTCCATTAGTTCATATCTTACTTTTAACCAATAATGAAACCTTCACTTGTACGTCATAATTTTTTAATGTTTTCTTTCTAAAACCTCAGCATTTTAAGTGGGTATATTTCATTTGTTTGCTATTTCCGTGTTTATGCGCACAGGATGAAGTTCAATTTTTAAAACACTAGAAATTGATGTTATAGATTTTTCCACTTACTGTTGTATTGTTTGTATATATTATTTCTCAATGTATTGAGCTAATCTGCGTAATCTCCACATCAAACTGAATTTTCGAAATTATTAATTTGCCACATAATGCATGCACAAATAGGTTAATTTTAATTTCTTAAAATATTTATCGTTTGCATAATTTATTATGATTAGCAATTACATATACCTTCTTTGCCACACTATCGTTACTGCATTCTTATAAAATTTCTTAGGTACTCGGTATATCAATAAACACAACAAACCGAAATTTCCCAGGGCTTGACTGGATTTACAACTGTTTCTAGTAACTGTGACACTAACTTATACGAGTAGGAAACATTGAAATAACATCTCTGGGTTTATTCGAATCAATAGAAAATAGATATTTCAGATTCTTTTCCCTCTGGAAACCTAATGCACTTTCTCTTTAGTTCAAACAGAGGCTCATTTCTTGAAAGTGAGGCTAAGTACCATGTAGTATTTTTTAAATGCAAAGCGTGAGGAAAACAAAATAAATCAGTGTCTTTCTAAATAAATATTCCAACTAAAGTTTGTTCACATTCACAAATCAAAATTAACAATCCAAAATATAAACGGTTTGTTTGTAAATCCCACGAATCAAATAAGCGGTGGAACGTCTGAACAGTCTTCAATATATTCGTTGTACATTCTTGGGTCGTCGATTGTTTTTTGATGTGAAGAAACGATTCCTTACATTTTGATGAATTGTTTCCAGAGAGTTCACTAAAAGTAGCGTTTGGCTTATTAAAATCCTGAACAAAAATATGATTTCTGAAAATTCAACAAGGCAAAAATAGTGACAAATTTTAGACGAAGGAGAGATTGCAACAATAATAGAAATACTACAACAAAAACAATCCTTGTATTCAATTATTTCTAGATTTGAAAGGATTCAGGTTTGAAAAGACATTATCTAAATTTATCACCTATGCAAATGAATATAAAGCGAATGGAAGCCAAACGCAACAATTGAAATTACGCAAATTTATCAAAAACGTTGTGGGATAATTACAAAAACATTTTACGTATACAACCTACGTTTTGTTGGTTTTTTCGTGAGAACTTTTATGTTCATTATTTGTCGATCTTCTGATTTCCTGAGATGCCTGTGTATAAATTTAGCGAAAATATTATTAACATACCTTACTGTTGATAATTTACAGCTATTGGTTAAAAATGAATAAACAGCCTACATTCTGTGTTAAAAGTGGTAAATCAGTCTTCATCGATGGATATCGGTCTATTTCCAATATTGTTATAAAATTAGGAATTCTTACGTTTATATGAAGATTGTCACCCTCACGAACTAATGAACACATTTGATTCATGGAATACAGAGAAATATGACAGAAGTTCAGTAAACATATAGACGCATCAGATATTTTTGCTGGTCAAAATTTGACCAGGTTCTTTATATTGAAAATTTTGATTACCGTGATATGCCTTTCAAAATCGTTATTCGCGGACAGACTTATATGTTGTTTTATCGTTCAAACAGCACATCAACGTAGTATTGTCTACTTTGATTATTCTAGAAGAATAATGACATTTGAAAACTGTTGTAACGGGTGGTTTGCAGGTTAGATGCGCAGCGTAGTTATCGATCGCTTCTGTGACACGTAAACACGTAATGAACGACCTAGAGTGCCGATTGGCCCTGCTTCGCTATCTAACCCAGCCAGTTGAGTCTAGAGCGCAAGTCACAGCCTCTGAGTTATGAATAATCATATTTCAGACATACTCTGTTTGTATACCAAACAAACAAACCACATCGTACCATAAAATGGAAAACAACATTTACACAATATTTAACAAGTGAGATGAACATCGACCAATAGGAAATGTCCATTTAACGTCCAAGGACACCATTCGACTTAACACGATAATTATTGGTATATTCCTCTGCATACCTAACAAAAACATTACTTAGTTTCTGAATATCGATATTATTGTACACAATTTAGGCAGTTTGCAGTGGCAAAGTATGTCAGCGATTGTTAGATCCCTAAGTTTCCAGAATTGCGAGAATGATGTTTGCCAAATTAGAAACCAAATATTTCAGTATCATCAAGAATGCATATATTTAACTCCAGCCCACTAAGATAAAGATAACACAAGTGAAACCACAGAATACCAACAGGAGCTAGAATTTAGAAATAAGAATAAAGCAAAAAAAGTAACGAATAGTAATAAGATCAAGTACAAATAATGAACCATGTTCAAAGCTGTGATCGATTATTAAACATTATCACATAAAGTCTATCACCGTTAGAATTTTATCGCGAAACACAACATCGAAGTCTTTACATGCCTCTAAACTGCCGGGATTTGCAGTTGGAAGCCTCACGAAGTGGTACATAGTCTTGATTTACCTACTGTCTTTTCTAATTTATACTTTTATGTAAAACAGGTCCAAAGCACCTCTGTTGATGAACGGTGGTAGTTCTGCGATAGTGAAGATTGTTTGCTCGGTTGCAGTTTTGTTCTGACCTAGATATTTTATTCGTTGAGCTACCATTGTTTTCTCGAATAACGTCATCAGCACAAACTTCAGACAGAAGCGATGTGCTTCAATTTCTTCACATGTGACTGACAACATGCCCTGTCTGGTCTTCTTTATCTAAAATTTAAGCATTTTCCCAGTTGAATTTGTGTTCATAACTGTGCGCGTTCATTGATATAAGTAAGAACTCATAATGGCGTTTGACAGCTAGTTGGTATTCATGAGTACGAAGATGAAGACAGCTGACTGTCCGATGTAGTGTTTTTAGCAGTTTGTTTCGATGGCGTTTTGCTTTGCTTCTTTTGTCATTTCACATTGGTTTGGATAAGAATGAAGTGATTTGTAATTTTATAGATATATTCAACTGGAAAAGTATTGAAGTTTTGAACAAAGGAAATGTATAGACAACCATAGAACTTCTTGATACTAAGGTCAATCAGTAAACATATCGAAATCAACTCAATTGGGAAATTCATTGATAAATATAAATCAAATATCATGTCATAAGGGAGGCAATCAAAATAAACGTTCAGACAATGAGGTTAAAGGTCAATAATAACCAATCAAATTGGGAGGTTTGTATTATTCTAGACCAATTATTTCAGCGAGGAAGCTACATGGTATATAGATGGATCTGATCTATTTTAGCATCATGATATTTGTGCAGGTGTATGTTAACAGTTGTGGGTTTTTGTTATAAATTGTGTTTCAAAGTTAGCAATTTCTGATGATCAGACTCCATATTATTGATTGCATTTATCTGCAACATAGATCAATGGCGTTCTCCAAATAAGCTATTTCTGCTTTCTCTCTCCTTTTAGCCTGCCATCAATATGTCACATTTAAAAATAGATTTAGTACTGCGCATTAGACTAGGTGTACAAATTCTCCGACAAGATCATGACAATAATCTGTATGCTTGCTTATTAGCTTTAAAATAATGGATACAATGTTAATATACATCAGGAATGTCTAAGCTAGGCTGTAAAGATCCAGGACAAACCTTATCTCAATAAACAAAGTAGCAAAAGGAAAATATCTCACTTTTTTGGCGATTTATTTCTTAGATCATATATGTGAAAAGCAAGAAATTAATACATCTGATTAAAAGACTAGTATCAGAATGGGTTTTGTGGAGAATTTTAGAAATTTCGCTTGTTGAAATTATGAGTCGATTGAAGCTAGACCACCATGAAAACCCTGGAAGCACTGGATGGCCGTCTCGTCCTAGTATGGGACTCCTCAGCAGTGCCATACTAGGACGAGACGGCCGTCCAGGTTTTCCATGGTGGTCTAGCTTCAATTGACTTATGATTTCAACAGGTAAAAGACTAGTATTTGAACGAAGAATATTCTTTTCGATAAATTCTCTTCAGGTTCTACGATTATATATCCAAATTAATAATCCGAAAAATGGCCAGGTTAGGGGCAAAGTACATCGTTTAAAGCATGTGAATTTAGGATTGTGATAAACATTTGATTAACTTGATAAAGACTTTATACCTTTGGCATAGTAATCAACAAATGTCCTGTCGTTAAAGAACGCTTGACATGTGAAGCATCGGCTCTAACTTCATCTGGTAAAGCTAGTTGGAAAACCTAGAAAAATAACAGGCAAAATATGCATTGTTGTGAACACGTAAATCAACAAAACAGAGTATTTTGTAATCAATTTAGGCCATATCGATTAACGACCTTTTTCATTTAACTGAATAGCTTTAAAACAGGTAGAATAAATACTTTATATTAAAGCAATAACATGGTAAGTTGTGTTTGTATAACAATAAAAGAATTCGCTTCAATCTTACGATTTCCCAGAAGGTCTATCAACGGAAGAATATATTCTGAAGGCATCATCTGTAATAACCTTGGTTTACTGTTCAATATTAAACTTTGTATGGCTAAGTTACTATTTCACTGACTTTAAATATAACTAACCATTCCAAACCCATTCTCAGAGTATTGTACTTCCACTTGGGAATTCTAGAAGGAAATACGAGGTGCGTTGGCATCGATCTTTATCAGAAGTGAATTAACTCAACAGATAGCATGTTATCAATAAGACCAGATATGGGAACAGAATCTGAAGAGTGTGGTTTTTATATCAATTAATACGTGTAAACGATTAGTGAACTAATAATCGACTGTTTACAGCCAATAAGAGAATAAGCAACAGACGTGCAGATAATCACACATATGGGTATTACATAGATAATTAGACGACTGAATTGCAGTAAGGGATTAATGAAAATAAATTGACCTTTGTTTGGACCAATTTTATTTTTCCCTCGGCAGGATATATTGTGCATACATAGTAGCGAAACAACCTACTGCACTATGATAAAGAAAAGATACAAGAAATCTTGGACATGAATTTCAGGTTACATGTGTCCAACACTGAAGAATAATTCTTCACCCTTGCAACTGAAACTACTTAGCTTGATGAAAAGGTCAATCATGAACCTATTCAAGATACAGTTTATATTTTATGTAAGACCATTTAAAGTATCCTAACCAGCCACTCATTGCTCCCAGTTATCAAATATAGGTTGAGCGATACACCATGTTTATTGGTACATTGAAAGACATCGTTAGAATTGTTCTCTAATCATACTATCATCACTTTAATAACTTTGTGATCTTTTCAAATTAACTTTATAGCAATTTACTATGATGTCTACAAAAACGTATCGAAGTCAACTCGGTTAGATTCTGTTTAGAAATTAGTTGATCCACAAGACAAGGTAGAGGTATGTACCACTGTCATCTCATTTTCCTATCTTATCATTCGAAGACTAAGGTATTTATCTCTGAATTTAAAGCCATCAAGCATTAAATGCCAAAAACATTGTCTACTGAGTTTCTAGAAACACTGGGTTAAGGTTTCCGGACATTACCCGAATCGTTTTTAACTTGAGCTATGTGAACTAATGGAGTTTGATTACCAGAAATATCCTCAAGAATATGTCTCAAATCTAACCATAACAACCTGATAATTTGTAACGTCCTTTATTTTAAGATATTTAAATGAGCAATAAAGAACCTCGAATCACCAGGCCCATACGACTTAGTAAAAACGAACTTACTCGTCTGTTGTTTATAAGTTTTCATGATTATCTTACCTTTCTTTTAAGTGTTACTCGGACGTAATTGACTTGTATGTCGCATTTTATCAAAGCTGTATCCATATGCCTATTATGAAAAAAGTATTTTGAGTAGGAAAAAGACATTAAATTTTAATAAGATTCCGAAAATATTATTTATGTACCATCAGAGTAAATTCGGGTAATTTCTCACGACATAATGATAAACAGGCTGTATCTTAACAGAAAGTATAATTCAAACTTAGTAAATCAAAACATTTTGACCGTATAGTGAGAACATTGTTCAATAAAAAACTAATAAAATTTCCGAATCCTTATCAAATGAATATTCAGAGCAAATCTCAACATGAAATCGATGTTTTACCACGATATATATGTAGTATAAAAACGAGTGAATACTGGAAAGCAATCCCTCTTAAGAAGAATTCCTACTCCAACCCGATTTTGTCAAAAGCTTACAAAATAGTTTCCAGATACTCTCCTCATAGAATACATACATTTGATATTTACATTGTTGCTCGTTTTGCAATCAGAGTTTAATTTTTAAATCTCTCAGATCATAGAAAGACTTGCAGCAAAAAACAGAGCTGAAACTGCGATAACAATTAATGGCTAATGAACACCATGTACCTATCTTGACCATATAGATCTGTTTATAATCCCTGAGTGTTTGAAGTAATTATCGGATTTTAAACAATGAAAACGTTTCAGTGAAGAATTTATTCTCGACGATATCATTTTCTGAATCTGTGTAATCGTATTTTGAGCAATTTTTATAAGTAGTAGTGTTCAATATAATAGAGGTTCGTTACAAAAAAGTCAAAGATGCAATACTGATTAAATTGGAATAACACCCTTGTATTTACACATTATTATATTCAATACTTGAAATCTTCTGACAGTCATGACTACATTTATGCAACACTACTTCATTTTCATAGACTTTTACATTTGACACTCGAATGAGTTTGACTATCTTTAATGATTTTGTAGCACTCTTCTGTCTTAATATAGACTAATATATGTAAAAACTACCCAAAAATACAATTGTGCAGCTTTAGAAAATTATATCTCGAAAAGAAAATTTTCTTCACTGAAACATCACGCTTTTGATGAATAAATGGGCTTCTTTCGCTTTCTATCCAGTTTTTACTGATCGTAGCATTCTTCCTTTCTGATGACTAGATTTGAAAGAAATCATTATTGAGATAAAGAATATTCTTAACAGGTTACTTACATTATTATTATTATTATTACTATTATTATTAATGTACATTACTGTATTGTAAATCGAATCTAGTCACCTAATTAATTGATACTTTGTAAAATTTTATAGAAATGATCACAGATGTTTAGTTCTGATAGAGCATATCCACCTTCCGAAAGTACAAATAACAAAATCTGTAAAGATTAAAATAAAGTTAATGTTTAGTATACTGATGTGCGTACAACTCGTGCTCTGAGAATTGTTTTTCTTTGTATGATTAAAAATTAGAGAAAACAGATGAGAAATCATCAAATTGAATGATTCATGTTAAGATCACTATTCACACAAAAATAAAAGTTGCTAAGCATGAATGACTCACTTATATACAGCAACATCGAGTATGTAAACATCGTGATCGTCTAATATATCTTCCTTGAGGTTGAACTCTATCCTAAAAGATTAGACAGTTTGATTATGGAATGTGGTCATAAAAGCTGTCTATCAGGCAGCGAAATTTCATTAAGTTAAATCCCTGATTCGGGACACCTTGTTCATATTAATTGTTTGAGGATTGTAAGTTCATAGGTAACTAATTATCTGAATCGTTAAACATTACGTTGGTCACAGCTTGCTAACTTCGGTCAAAATGAAGAATTACATATCAATATGAGGTGCTTAATCCATCAAGAACAGTTGTTCTAGAAGAGCAAAATGAATTCATTCATTCCATACATTCGTTGTAACAACCCGAATATCAAAAAATTGTAATATTTAGAGAGTGCACGTAACGGTTTGTCTTCTGGAAATAACTTATCAAAATACGTGATAACACACGAGATTGTGGGTATGTTTACATAAGAAAGACGAAGTTACCATCGACTATTCACAGCTATGGTAACGTACTTTGCATGGCCGTTAACTAATTCATAACTTTTATAATAACCTCCCAACTGAACATTCAATGCGTAACAATGCGTAACTTCATCCGCACATATCCCCATCAATGTTTTTATTCTCGAAATTGTTTTTGCAAGATAAGCGCTAATTATTTGTAAAACAAGTCCATATTTTGTAGTTTTCTGGGTACAGACGAATTATTAAACACAATGGAAAAAAACACGACATAATTTAGTTCACAGAAACCATTTCCAACGAATAATTTATACGGATTTATAGTATTTTAAACTTATCAATATACTGCACTTGGATATATCGCACCTTGATTATTGCATAAAACTACCCTATTTGTCAGATTTAGTGTCAATTAGTTCACGAATGACATTCACGCAACTGAAGCCAATACAGTTCCAAAACTTCAATCAAATGAGTTTATAATTCTCATAGAAACTAACAGATTTTATGTCATAAACTACATTTGCTACATTAATTTATGACGACTGTCTGAAAAAAAATATGAAATAACTTAACCGACAAACTTAATTCCAAACCGCCGTTGCATTTGAACTTGTTGCTACCCAAACAACAGTATTATTAGCCAGTCATAATCAAAGTTGGGGCTGACAAAAGTGTGCATTAGCCTAAACTGTCAATCTACATTGACGCGATAAAATCAAATTACCAATATGAATAGTAAAGTATGTATAAAACTGTATTTTGAAGTGGACTTCACTGGGACAAAATTAGAGTTATATTTCACTGTAATTTTCTATGGTTATTCGATAGTTTATTTGCTACAGCTATTCAGTGTAACGTCTGACGCATTTCGAATGAGACAGTGTGTATTCTTTTGATTTATAGCCGTGAAATTTTTTACCACTATGGAGATTCAAGGCCAACAGATGTGATAACTTTAGAAAAACCAGCACAAGACGAATAATTTCCATATATTCATTCAACTCTACATCTGAGCAGATTTCAAATTAACTTAGCAGCACTAATTTAAAGCCCTATCATTGTTGTACCGTTAAAGAAGAGAATTCTAAACAAAATGACACCTTAGTTACCATTAGGCTTTTATGAGTTGGGTCTCCGAAAAGTCCTGTTATCAAAAATATACGTTAGTAAAACTCCCAGACACTAATAATGACAACGGATGAGATTATGAATGTATTGATCGGGAACCTGAACACAGAAACATCTGGATACATAGTAAACATACTAACAACTAGAATTTACCAAATTCTTCATGTTTATGAAGATTAAGGTTTAAACTTGCAACCACCAACATATGATATTCACAGTTATGTTTCACAAAGTAATCATTTACTCCTGATCAACCCTGAACTCATCTATATCATATTTCAACTAACTACTGAGGAAGCAGTTTTATTATTTATTGATGCAATATACTTAATTTAGACTCAAAAAATTATCTTTTACAGAGTAGTTTTGTCTTTCCAGAAAAAATGTAGATCCTAGTTCTTCTCGTATGTTTTATCATCGCTAATACCTTATTTTAATCTCGCTTGTTATTTTCATCTCATCATATGAATCAAGCATAGTAACTTGGGACAATGCATATCTGTGCCAAGATGTATGTTTATGATGTCTGTCTGTGTATCGATCTACACGATAACTTGTGTTAAAGAGAAGTATGGATAGTTAATGAGTTACCGCAAAGAAGTGCTAGTCTTTTTTATGTTCACACTATCGATAATATGCATACTCGAAGTATTTCCCAAAGTATCAGTTTAGTACAGTATAAGGTTCAGACAAGGATTCGTTATCACATATGTTCACATTTTCGGTCTATCTGTTTGATTGATATTTAACTTGACATTTTGAATATAACGAAAACCAAGAAAAGACAGTTCTTCAGGTGGAACATATATCAACAGATGATGTTCATAAATAAATCAGTAAGCGATTTTGTTTGGACTAGACAAATAGCGAACAAAATACAATAACGAAAAATATCATACAAACGTACTTAGCTGTGTTGATATTGTATGGTCGGCCGTCTTCGGCAAAATATTTTGTGATTACTCGCGGTTCTATCCTGAGAAGATTTTATTACGTAAAACTTTGTATGTATATATCATGTAAGTTTATTTCTTCAACTATCTTAAAACTTTAACCTATCTTACTTCATAACCGAAAAGATACAAAAAAACGCCCTAAAACTATTTGAGGCGATCAACATTATTAAAGATTATTTGGTGGTAAATTTTGATAACTGCCTTTTAATGAAGCATACCAGATTAAAGGCTTTTATGAAAAAGTTCAAGGGTTTCAAAGCTGTTGATGGTTTGATTGTGATATAAATCGCATGAATGCATGAATACACAAACTGAACGCAGGTGTGCAGCTCATCAATATACCTTATCTTCGAACAATAAACATATCCAAGAGCCAGAGGTTGCATTTGACTGATACCAAACTCAATCAAGTAGAACTAATCTAGTTTCTTAAATAAAACAGCAGCACGAGTCACTTTGAAAATTAAGGATGATAACAGTGGGAAGTATCGATCAGCTGTTATTTTCACTTTCATTGGTGAAACTCAATATTGTCTGATCTAGAGGTGAACAGCTGTGTCACCTAAACTTCCATATAGTTTTTTTTAAATTCACCAGTAACTTCTAATGGTATTTCAGAATTTCAGTAATTCCAACCTAAAATTCAAATATGAATTTACCAAAGAGAAAAAGAATTTATAAGTGCCTTAGAAATGAAGCAACTTTATTCGTTATCTAATCAATTACACATTCTAAGGCTCTCCATGGTCTGTTTGTGACTCTGAGATGCGCGCAACAGAAAGGTTCCGATTTTAAAGGATCTTAAGATAAATATAATGCATAAGAAATCGAGCACTAAAAGTTTGTAATTGGCTTTCTAAGGAGCCATCAGAATCTACACAAGAATAAAATGAAATCTGGAGACTTCCCAGAATCTGCTATTGTGTAAAGTGCGTAAAATGCAATTATAAAAGGTTGTTATGATCGGTAGAAACGTCATGATACCCGGTATATCCATCTTCAAAATATAACCTTTGAATTACAATAAGAATAAAAATCAACATTGTAGTTGGATATGGCTGTTATTTATTCAGGAGAAACACCTGTTATTTTCAAATGAAGTGCCACTTATTCAATCATCATCCGCAATTGATATTACTAACAGTTTTGTTCCTGCGAAAAATTTATTTGGTCCCCATACACATATTATCTTTGTTACCTGATATTTTGCTTGTACTCTTTGTTTTTTTTTCAATTAACTGATGCAGATGTTCAAGCAAGAAAATGTGTATGGAAACCTGGATTATAAATAAAAAAAGCACATCGATATATTTAAAAAATATGAGTTTTAATTCTTAAAATCGGTTATCCTTTACTCCATATTGACTTCTCGTCAAAGTGGTATACTTGTAAACGTTAATCTAATTTAGCATATATATGGACAACAATCTCAATAGGATTCCTATTTCATAAATTAAACATTACATACTATTATGTGAATTAGGTACCTTGAGTTTTTTGTTTCTTGTCTTGATTTTTCTTTTTGTTGCATATATTCATGTGTTTCAATTCGTGATTCGGGTGTGTAAGGAACTTTTTCAGACCAATATTCTTCTAAACCCAAAGTTGTGCTGTACGAAAAACGAAAAATTAATTAATAAAATAAGAACTGCATTCCACAGGACTATAACAATGTACCATAATTTGATAAACTTATTGGTGACATTTAATGATAGGAGAACTAGGTATACCATCTTCACTAACTTAACTGGCGGCCTGCACGAATATCTGGGCTACCTGTTCTTGCCATTTAAATATTTTAACAAGTTATTTTTTATCTGCTTTAACACATCATTGTGTCTACTAATCGCACAACCTGTGTCAGGCGTGATGGCGAGACTATACTTTATGGGCGACCCTTGAATGAAACTAAAGTGACCTTGAGGAATATTAGACAATCAGGAAACAGATAGTAGTAGAGTAAAAATATACTATACAAAGATAAAGAATTAAATGGATACACATTTTTTCACAGAGTTCAAAAACTTGTCAAGGTTCAGAGGTTTTAAAATAGTAATGCATACGGTAGAAGGACTCATCCTTATGGCTCCATAATAATCGCATCTGGAGCCATAATAAAGTCACAAAAACTATATCAGCTTCGACCACATAGCTTCAATATTGTTTGTATGCACTCCGGGTGTGTAAGCTTATAATTGTTATTACGCACATATCCCTAAAATAGTCATATCACTTAACAGTCGAAGCTTCAGTAACATCTGCGAATGTTGCAGTTAATGTTACCCGTGCTTTTATTATACCGTTCGCGACAATTATCAGGATTTGCCTTAGTCTCAATCTGGATCGAGCAGACTTCTTCCACCAACAATATCTTCATCCTTTTTGGTTCAACACAATACTTTCGACTATAAACACAGTCTGTTTTTCTAAACAAATGAAGACTTCTTGTTTATTATGTATTGAGCGAACAATCGGTTTCAATAACCTCATCATCAGGCTCTATAATTATGATAATTTACAAATGCCAAAATAAGGCATGTATTAATGAATTTCACAATGTTATGTGTTAAAAATGGTAAACGTTTACATCTGTTACGACATATATACTTCGAAATTGTGTTATTTGCAAATTTAAAAAGAGTTCAGAATGATTTGGAGTAGTGTCCAATCACAATCAGTAGAATAGTATTATAGCCCAAATGAAAATGCGAAAAAATTGTGTGAATAAAATGCATAGTAGAATTTCATCTTGTCAATTGAGATAATAATCATAATAGTAATAATAATAATATTGTTGTGTAAATATAATATGTAATAAAGGGGGTGTTATCAAGGTAATTACAATAAACGAATCGGGAATGATGGGTGTGAAGAATAAAATAGAGGTAATCAAAAAATAATAGTAAGGAAAAAAAGAGACTAGATATACCTTTTCTGGATACATAAGTTTGGTTTTCTGGAGTTGATCCAGATGGCTTCGGCTATGTAGAGCAACCGTAATATAGCTCCTTGAGGTAGATATTTTGGGACTTGATATGAAATAGAGAAAGCTTCCTCTATTTTGATATAATGTTCACTATCTACCAAGTGAAAAAAGATAGTGCTGTTGATCGATTTAGTGACTGCTTTTCCCAACCATGCTGGTACATGTTCACGAGCACGCAAGGATAAAGCCCTCTGAGTACGGCCTATGTAACTAGTTCCACAGGAGCAGTTAGATTGGTATACACACATGGAGGAGTCCATCTTCTTCTACTTAAAGTTACATCCCTTTTTATGGAGAAAGTAAATTAAAGTTACATTAGGATCGCCATTGGCATCTAATCTGAGCCATATCCGATAACGCCGCTGTGTTGCACCATCTCTAGGACCCCAACCAGGGAGTCGTGAAGGACCGACACAAGCCAGCCCTTTGCAGCTTTCTTTCATAGCACGACACCATGTCATACACTGACCACCTCTCCGCTTTTTCCAACCAGTCCCAGAGTCGGCAAATAATGCACGACGTGGAATTCTCTGGGACTACATTCGTAGAACATGTCCAAGCCACCAAAGTCGATGTTTCAAGATAGTGACACCAGTCGCATTATCGTCTCTGTACCCGAACACACGATGCCGAAGCTCTGCATTACTAACATGGTGTTGACACTGGATGTCAGCAATCCTTCGGAGACAGCGATGATCGAACACAGAGAGTCGTCTAACATCCCCAACTCGGAGAGGCCAGGTTCCACAAGCATAGAGCAAAACTGCTCCCACCGACGCGTTGTAGATCCGACCTTTTACAGCTAGACTGACATCACGAAGACGCCAAAGATGGCCCAGATTGACATAAGCCGCTCTGGCTTTCACTATACGTGCATTGATCTCATCAGTCAGGCCACCACCAGCACTTATGCAGCTACCTAGATACACGAACTTCTCAACTACTTCTATCTGCTCACCATCCAGGGTGAGTACAGGATTAGAATCCTGCCAGTCTTGTAGAAGTACTTTGCAGTTCGAAGGTGCAAAGCACATACCGTACTTACGGACACTGGTTGCCAAATGACTAATTGCGGATTGTATGACTTGGGCATTATCGGACAGTAAGATAATATCATCCGTATACCCAAGGTCGAGAAGTCTTTCTACAGGCAACAGATCCACACCGCCATTACTTACATCCGTCAGAGCTGCTTCCAGAATGTCATCGATGGCAAAGTTGAGGAGGAATGGTGAGATTGAGCAACCCTGTCTAACCCCACTGCTCGAATAGGACAATGGAGAGAGGTGGTTGTATGCCCTCACTCTGCCTGAGGTGTTTGTATATGGGGCCTTCAGGATGTTAACAAACTTCTCAGGCACACCCTACTTCCCAGAGAACAGTCCTGTCCAACGAATCGAAGGCAGCCCTAATGTCAAGAAACACTACGATTGTTGGCCTTTGATAAGTATGACGGTGTTCTAACATTTGGTAGACAAGTGCCCAAGAAAGGATCTCACCATGCTGATGGGAGATCTAAACGCCAAAGTCGGAATAGACAACACCGGAAATGAAGATATCATGGGACGACATGGATTGGGAGAGAGAAACGAGAATGGGGAAAGATTTGCAAATCTGTGTGCATTCAACAAATTGGTCATAGGCGGCACAATATTTCCACACAAACGTATACACAAAGCTACATGGACCTCACCGGCCCACACCACATAGAAACAGCTAGATCATATTTACATCAATAAAAATTCCGAAGGACAATGGAAGATGTGAGAACCAGGAGAGGAACTGACATAGCTTCAGATTACCACCTAGTTGTGGCCAATTTAAAACTGAAACTAAAGAAGAACTGGACAAACAGCACTACAAAGGTTCAATACAGCCTTCCTTCGAGATACTGACAAACTCAATGAATTCAAGGTAGCTCCCAACAACAGGTTCCAAACCTTACTGGATCTACTGAAGGAAGAAGAAACTACTATGGACCACATAGCTTCAATATTGTTTGTATGCACTCCGGGTGTGTAAGCTTATAATTGTTATTACGCACATATCCCTAAAATAGTCATATCACTTAACAGTCGAAGCTTCAGTAACATCTGCGAATGTTGCAGTTAATGTTACCCGTGCTTTTATTATACCGTTCGCGACAATTATCAGGATTTGCCTTAGTCTCAATCTGGATCGAGCAGACTTCTTCCACCAACAATATCTTCATCCTTTTTGGTTCAACACAATACTTTCGACTATAAACACAGTCTGTTTTTCTAAACAAATGAAGACTTCTTGTTTATTATGTATTGAGCGAACAATCGGTTTCAATAACCTCATCATCAGGCTCTATAATTATGATAATTTACAAATGCCAAAATAAGGCATGTATTAATGAATTTCACAATGTTATGTGTTAAAAATGGTAAACGTTTACATCTGTTACGACATATATACTTCGAAATTGTGTTATTTGCAAATTTAAAAAGGTTATTTAAAAAAGTTCAGAATGATTTGGAGTAGTGTCCAATCACAATCAGTAGAATAGTATTATAGCCCAAATGAAAATGCGAAAAAATTGTGTGAATAAAATGCATAGTAGAATTTCATCTTGTCAATTGAGATAATAATCATAATAGTAATAATAATAATATTGTTGTGTGAATATAATATGTAATGCACAAATGCCCTGGTACGCCCGACAGTGGGGGGACTCCGCCCTCTCTCTCTCGAAATGCTCTCACATGTCCATGTGCATACAACCACTGCCAGTGAAGTCCTACCCACTGCCTTCTTGTGGCGGGGGTGTTGTTTACGAGATTGAGAGGACGAAAAACGAATATCCTGTGCTTTAACCAGTTTGATGGATACGGAGGATCCACCTATGGGAGTTGGAAAACCCTGATTCTAAACCAATGGGTTCCAGGGTCCCGAGGGAACAAATGGCGTATGAACCAATTGTTGTTCACCGGCTACCATTTGACTGCATCTCATAACGTTTTTTCACCGTCTTGTGGATTGGACCTCTAGACCTCCAGGTCTTTGGAAAGCCTTAATATCGACGTCTGTTGTCTATCCGAAACCCGTATTTAAGACTCTGGTGAAGTACTACAAATTTGCTCTCCATATGTCGCTTCAAAAGGCTTGTTTTACGTGCGTTTATCCGGGGACCCTGTGGCATCTTCGTCCAGTTTTGCTGGCGTTGGTGTCGCACTAAGCGCTAGAGCTGAGGCAGCACTAGTCGATTGGATCTCCGTTAACAGTCGGTTATGTGCTGTTAGATTAGAAAGTTCCATCGAAGTAAGAAGTCGATGTGAGAAACAATGTCTCTTCGTCATCTCCGCCTATGCTTCGACAGATTGCAGCACATATGCGATCAAAAATGAGTTTTACCACCAGCTAACAGTTCTTCTACAGAAAGTGAGTTCGACAGATACTGTAATACTATCCGAAGACTTGAATGCTCAGATCGGGCGTTTAGGTACAGATGAGAGTTGTTTAGGTGGCCGATGGGGACTTGTTGGTCACAGGTCAGATAACGGGGACCGTCTACTGCAACTGTGCACAGACCATAACCTGTTTCTGGCTAGCACTAACTTTTGGCACAGTCATCGCCGATGTGCCATCTGGCGTCCTCTC